GTGGTACACGGCCAGCGGGTGGGTGGGGTGCTGAGGGCAGCGAGAGAGGTCAGCGGGCAGGGGACACCCCTCCCCGCATCCCTGCACACCCCAGTTCTCCCAGATGAGCTCCAGCACCCACCTCCCCACAACCCCAAGTCACAGGCACCTCCGGTTCGGATATCCAAACCACCCATCCTGAACACATGCCTCTGCCCCTGCCCCTCCTCCCCCAGGGCCACCCCGTGCCCTCGCTGCCATGCATAAGGAGCTTACTCGAGCCTTGACATCCCTCACAAGGTCCAGGTAGGGCATCCCCGGCTTCACCATCAGCATGTCTGCTCCCTCACGCACGTCCCGGTCCTGTGAGGGGAACGTGCACGTGACCCCGGCAGCTCGGGGGAGAAAAACATTTTCCAGCAAGTCCATGGTTGGTTCTCCCCAGAAGTTTGGACTTGGTTGTTTTTTTGCAGAGGGCTCACAGAAGGATCGCTAATGGTCCCAGGAGCCAGGGATGGGCTGTGATGGGCAAGAGCCGACACTCCCCTCATCAGGCACCCTGCGCCTGGGGAAAGCCAGCGGCTGTGTGTCCCTGGCCCCGACACCCCAAGCCACATCAGGGTATGGGGTCACCAACTCCACAGCTCCCAGCACAGTCCTCAGGCCCACGCTGGTTACCAGCTCTGGCAGGCTGATGGGCCTCACGTTTCCCTTGCTTGTGGAGGGCAAAAACCCTTGACCATTTGGCCAGCATACTGCTTACCTCCATCTGATTCCAGCACCCCTGATCTCGCTCTCCCCAAACCCTGATGCACTGCTGGGTGTTGAGGCTTGTCAGCCAGGCACCATATGAGGGGTTTCCAGTCCCCACAGCCATAAACCCACCACCCTTGGTGCTGCCTGAGGCAGGCTCACTCACCACTGCACGCATGGCCAGGCCCCTGGCACCCGGGGGCAGCTGGTAGCATCGCCTGTCTCCAAAGGCGGGTTTGGACAGCGCGGCATCCCTGGTGACAGGCAACGCAGAGGACAGGATGAGGACCAGTATGGCTCTCCATGCCTCTCACCTCACACAGCTTCAGAAGCATGAGAACAGACTAGGACAAGTGGCTGAGCCAGTGGGCTTGTAAAAGGGGACTCTCCAGACCCAATTCAGCACCCTAGGATCACTCTGGGAAGTCCGACAGGCCCAGGCTGTCCCTGGGAGCTGTGCTTCAACACTTGCTGCCCTCCCCGTGCCCAGAGTCTGGGGTAAAGCCAGGTCAGACACTTTCCTTTTAACTCTTTCTGAGGCAGATCCCTCAGGGACACCCCGTTGGGATTAGGTCATTTTTGGGACGAGCCGACTGAGCTGTTTGTCCCTGAAGCCACCCTTCGGGGCAACACTGGCTCCTGCAACTCCCATCCTCACTGCTCCTGGCAGCTGCAGGCAGCTCCCTCTCTGCCTCCCTTGCCACCAGCACCCAGCACGAGCAGGTGAAGGAGTGGGACAGATCACCCGAGGTGATCTTCCCACCAGCCAGCCTCTCCTGGGCGAGACATTTGTCTCCCTTTTGCAGCAGGCAGTAGGAGGCGAGCACTCCAAAGCGACCAGCGTGGTCCCAGCTGTGGCCCAGGCTCTGGCTGAGGCCAGTTCCTAAATATGCAGGGACACACATCCCGGACAGAGCAGCCCTGGCTGGGGACGCTCCAGGCTGAGGGACAGACCTACCTGAAGGGACCGTAGAAGCACGAAGCGAACTTGGCACTGTAGCTCATCACCGAGACCTGCAGAGGAGAGTGGAGCCGTGAGCGCCAGGAGCTTGCTGCTGCATCCCAGCACCGGGGCAGGAGTGATTCTCTCCCGTGGCTGTTTTATGCTCTGCCTCACATCCTCCTTCCCCTGCCAGAGGCCTGGCACCTTGTTTGTCCCCATGTCCTGTCAAGGACATTGCCTTCCTGTGTGCACTGGGACAGGGAAAGGCCCATGGCACATCCTGGGCAAGGTGGGGGTTTGCTTCTCCCACCGCTTGCCCAGTCCTGCTGGGGTGCAGCCCCCCCTGTGGACATCACCCCTGCCTCTGGCACACCCAAAGCTCACCTTGTTGCCCAAGTCATTGGAGATCAGTGCTGCCTTTATGGCCGCGATGCGCCCATCCATCATATCTGAGGGGGCAATAATGTGGCAACCTGCAGGGAAAGAGCAGAGATGCCAAGAAGTGCCCGAAACGGTGAGTGCCTGCAGGAGGAAATCTTGCCCCTGTACTTGGCGCTGGTGAGGCCACACCTTGATTACTGTGTTCAGTTTTGGGCCCCTCACTACAAAAAGGACATAGAGTTACATGAACATGTCCAGAGAAGGGCTACAAAGCTGGTTCAAGGGTCTGGAACACATGTCCTGTGAGAAGCGGCTGAGGGAACTGGGATTGTTTAGTCTGGAGGAGGCTGAGGGGAGACCTTATCACCCTCTACAACTACCTGAAAGGAAGCTGCAGAGAGCTGGGTTTGAGCCTCTTTAGCCTGGTAGAAAGTGACAGGACAAGAGGGAATGGCCTCAAGTTGCGCCAGGGAAGTTCAGACTAGATATTAGGAAGCATTTCTTTGCAGAACAGGTTGTTGGGTGTTGGAATGGGCTGCCCAGGGAGGTGGTGGAGTCCCCATCCCTGGAGGTGTTCAAGAGTAGTGTTGATTTGGAGCTTAAGGATATGCTGTAGGTGGGAACTGTGCTAGGAGAATGGTTGGACTAGATGATCTCCAGGGTCCTTTCCAACCTAGAGGATTCTGTGATTCTCTGAGGAGGTGGCCCCAGGGCCAGAGGGGCCCTGGGTGCCTGCAGCTCTGCAGGGGCCAGCCCGTGGAGGGCAGGCAGAGCCTCCCCCAGCCCAGAGCAAAAGCACTCCCAGTTGCAGCATGGCCCAGTTTGGTTTTGGGCCTGTTAAAAGCAAGAGGGGGCAAGTCTGTGTGGGAATTAAGAAGTGGTGGTTAGTGAAATATGAACTGAGCTTGAGGTTAGAATGACTGGGGAAGACTGAGGCAGCATTATGTAACACCATGCTGTGTGAAAAACAGCAGTAAAAAACACCCCCTGCAGAGTGTGGTGAGTGTGTGAGCAATAAACAGGCAAAACCTGAAGGTCAGTAGGATGTAAAAGTGAAAACAAACCTACATAATCAGGTGCTAATAAATTGGGTGATTGCACACCGTGGCAGCATTTGGTTTTGGCAATGCCCCCCCTTCAACAATCTGGTGTGAACTTGTCTTCCTTCTGTGTGTCACCCTGATCCCAGCTGGGCTGAGACTGACAAGTCTGTGAGAGTTAAACTTGGGTACCTCTGGGAGGAGACTCCCCACCTGCTTTGGCGTAGGCCAGCGCCACTTCGGCCAGCCGCTGGCAGCTGATCTCATTCTGGATGGTGCCATCTTCACGCAGGATACCTGGGAGACAAAGCCAGGGTTACGCAAGGGGCCGGACAGCTGGTTGTCTCCATCCCTGGGGTGGGAGCGTGGCTCTCGGGACAAGCTACAGAAATACTTGGAGCAACAGCGGAAAATGTGTTAAGGGCGCTAGGTAAGGAGCAGGAGACCAACAATGCAGCCCTCCAAGGACTGGACACAACACGTAGGTCCCTCCAGGCTCCAGGGAAGGGAAGACACAGATGGGGACACAGACGGGTGCTCAGACAGATTCAGATGGCTGGAGTGTGTGCCTTAGCCACCTGTCCCTCCCACCCTGCTGTCAAAACCCAGGAGAGGTCTCCCAGACTCAGCTGCACCAGTACCAGGGAGCCAAGTCTTGGGGCAGGAGCTGGCCAGAGCCCACCAGTCCATGGAGCTTCTCAGCAGAAAATGGCAAATCCCTGAGGACTCCCAGCGCCAGGAAAATGCCTAAAGAGCAGCCCCGGACCCCAGGCTGTGCACTCACCGCAGTGCCCGTGGGAGGTGTAAGGGCACAAGCAGACATCGCAGGCAATCAGCAGCTCTGGGAAGGTGGAGCGGATCTTCTTGATTGCCTGGATGGCAGGCGTGTCCTCCGCATCAGCCGCGGAGCCTCTCTCATCCTGTGAAAGGAGAAATGTCTCCACACACAGGGCCAAGGGCTTCTCACCGGTTCCTGTGTGGCAGCAGTTCTGCTCTGGAAACATTTTCTGAACTGTGAGACCCTGTAACACAGGGCAGTGTGACCACCACCGATGGTAAAAAGCAGTGGAGTAGTGACTCTGGGCAGTGAGTGCAGGTCCCAGGGCCACCTGCAAGAGCTTTGGGAGCTTTTTGGGTGTCACTACAGTCTCCCATCCCTGTCCTGCTCTGCTGAGCAGGGTGCAAGCATGCCCAGAGACCCTGACCTGCTCCTGTTTGAGACCTTCCGGCCCCACACTTCTCTCCCACACCCCTGTGGCTACCCCAAGCCTCTTGCCGCCACCACGCACACTGACCTTGTGGCCCTTGCTGGGCACCCCGAAGATGAGCACACACTTCAGACCATCCCCAACGAGGGGACGCAGCATCCCCTCCAGCTTGTTGACTCCATACCTGAGAAGAGCAAAGTGACAGGGGCTGCCAGATACCCAGACCTGCTCTGTGGGGCGAGCTGGTCTGTGTGACTTGGATGCTGGTCTGTGAGTGATCCAGCATCCACAGGGATCCACACCAAGCAGCAGCTGGAGCTACAGGGGAGGTGTCGCATCAACACTGGGAGGAACAATCCCAGACCTTATCTGAGGCTACAGGAGTGTTATCTGCTGGGCGCTGACACTCTCTGCTCTGAAAGGACGAGCATACCCTGCCCTTGGATCCCTTATCTTGGTATCCCTGTTGCAGATCCAGCCCCCCTCTCCACAGGACCCCCCCCTCCCTGGCATCTCTCTGACCACAACCCTGCTAATGCAGCAGCAGATGAAGACGGGACCTGCCAGTCTAGCAAGATCTGACGCCGGAGCAGAGCCCACGTCCCTGCACAGGTGTATCTAGCAGCTGCAGGAAACCCCATTCGCTTCCAACTTCCCTGCATGCCCAGCCCAAGTGCTGGGCAAGTGCAACAACGCGCAAGTGCTCTGGGACATCACAAGACCCTAGTACTATTGCTGCCAGTACTGGTACTTTCCCAGCATCCCTTGATGACTCCTTCCACTCCCTTGGCAGACAAATGCTCCTGCCCTGCCTGAAGCTGGGGGATCCCCACAGCACGGACCACAGAGTGTTGGAAGCATCACTCCTGGCCCATGCTCATCTCACGCCATACATCAACTCAGCTCAGGCATGGGGCACGGCAGCGACCGGCATGCAGCTCAGCGAGGCTGGATTCTTACCTGCCTTGTCCAGGGAGGCTGGGGATCGGCTCCACCACATCAGGGCTGTCACTGCAGGAGGTGGATGGGACAGAGATGTGAGGACTCAGCATGAGAAAGAAGCCCCTACCCCAGGCTTGTCCATGGGGAGTCTTTTGGGAAGTCTGAACCTATTGAAGAGCTCAGGGAGCGCCTAAGCCAGTCAACCTGAGCTTGGCCCATCCCTAACCCAGAGAGCCAGGGCTCACTCACGTGACAAAAATGGGGTAGATGAGGTTGGAAGCATCGAGGGTGGTTGCTGTACACTGCCAGGAGCGTAACACCGGGTGGAAGTAGCCGCTGTGAAGAAGGGAGTCTGCCTGCATCTTGGGCCTTCCCTAGGAGGCTGTGGAAGGAGACTGAAACACCAAAGGAGACCAGCAGGCTGGTGAGTTGGGGTATCCTGGTCAGCTGCTGCTATTGGCACATGTGAGGAGGGCGCTGAGATCCCGGCAGCCGCTGCAGGACCGTCCCTGTCCTGCTCCTGGCCCACGTGGGGAGCACGAGCTGCAGCCCAGGCGGCTTCATCCCAACTCCCCCAGGCACTGCCCTGCGCCTGGAGGGTGTTGCAGGATCCTGCGTCAGCTGTCACAGTGCAGCACTTTCCATAAACAGGGATGATGCTGACTCCTCCCCACAAAACCTCCCAATTCTGTGTGTGAAATTACCAATTTACAGCCACCAGCCTCCTCCCGCAGCAGAACCACGTTCACACGGTTCAACGCTACCACCCTCCTCAGGCTGTTTTAGCTTGCACAGCTGTAACAGCAGTTTTCTAGTGACAAGATGGTCTTTGCGTAATTCCTTTTACTTTTAATGCTGTCTAACTGTGTGATGCAGCTGTTGTACACAGAGTAGTCAAAAGCTGCTCTGTGTAGCACAAAATATTTATGGCCACAGTGTAATGATGCAGTTACAGAAGAGTAGGGGCACTGGAGGGGAGAGAGGCGCAGGATCACCCTGAAGTCACCAGAACTTTAAACCCCCAGTCACACAACTCCAGTGGCCACCTACTGCTGGATAAAGAAAACTTGGGAGTTGGGCAAAACTGATTGCAGGAGTAACAAAGAGCAGTTACCAAACATACATAAACCAAGTGTTAGCTATGTTATTGTTGAAACTTTTCCTGTAGCAATTTTTTTTTTCTTCTGTAACAGTCAGATCTAGTAATAATTCTGTGACTACACCGTTAAATTTCCACTAGTGCTAAATTCTAACCAACATGTGGTTGGTGAGAAGCATGGCAGAAGGGGCTGCGGGAAGACAGCTGCCCCGGGACAAGCCATTTGGCTGCAGCACAGAAGAGAGCAGTTGTTACAGCACTGGGAAATTGAACCTGAATGCTGGACTGTCTGTACAGAGCAGCCTTAAGGACTTCTGGCTGTGCACACAGGGTGCACCCCACAAACACCCAGAGGAGACAGGGGTGCCCCAGGAGACAAGCAGCCAAGTCTCTACTGGAGACCACAAATTTTGTTTTGAGAGCTGAAACCCGAGGGAGGTGGCAGGAGGAGAGCTGGACATAGGCTTCTCTGAAAAAACAAGTGGATTCCTCTGCTAGTACCCGTGGGCAGGGCAGGGCTTTCCCTGGGAGACAGAGCAGACACAAGGATGGGACCTGTCTTGGGGGAGCAGCCCTGTGGTCCTCAGTCCCATCGCAGGAGGGATAAACCCCAGGCAATAAACTTCACCAACACCCCACCTGTGCCTGGCTCTGCGGAGAATAGACACGGCTCAGAGCATCCCGGGACACTGCCCAGGGGAGAAAGTTTAACATCGGCACCCATGACACCAGTCAGCAACAGAGCTGGGCACAAAATAGCTGCATTCTTCTGGAAAACCTTTAATCTGAGGTGTTCACCGATTTTTACACACTCAAGATCCTTCAGACATTCTAATGCTAAGCCAAAGTCTCCATCAGGCCACCCCAGTGCACAGGGCACTTGAAATACAGGGGCATAGTGTTCAGTCCAAGGCTTGAACCGAGTCTCTCATACCCCTAGCGATTACCTCTGCTTGGGGATGGGGGAAAGGGCACCCCTCAATTACTTACAGGCTTACACGTATAAAAATGCTGCATAAAAAAATCAGACAGTGTTTGAGGGGGATGCAGACCAGCTGATGGGCATGCTGGCAGTGTCATGGCATCACTTGGCAAGTAATTTTTAGTCCTGGAAAGCTGCCACTCCAGTCCTTACTCACAGAGAAGGGGACAGCCCTTGGGTGAACTGGAGTTGGCAGCTGTGGGCAGGCAGGGCTCCAGGCAGGCAACAACCAAGAACAAAGGGCTCGGTGAAAAAAACCCACCTCGAGAATCCAAAAAATGCTTTAAACAGTTAATCCCACT